GATTTCTGAGCTCTCTATTCTATTCCATTGATCTATATGTCTGTTCTTGTGCCAGTACCAGGCAGTTTTGAGAACAGTGGCTTTGTAATACAGCTTGATATCTGGTATTGAGATCCCACCAAGACAGGTGACTTTCAAAGATGGAACAATACAGAGTTTCTGATGTTATGAAGGTTAAGAATATGTTCCTTAAGGTGCTTTTTTTTTTCTTTCTTTCTTATTCTGACATCTGGATACTAGGCATGAATGTAATTGTGTTCTAGGTTAGTAATTTTTTTAATTATTGCAGTGTTAGGAGTACCTTAGATTTTTTGAAATAAAGTTTCCCTGATCATGTTAAATAGTGATGTTTTATCATAAGATAAGAAAGTATATTGTAGTACCTATTTGTAAGTAGCACTATGACAAAGGATGTCAAAACAAAGTTTTCCCTGAGTCTTAGGAGTTTGTTATTTTTTAATTCTTTAAATTGTATTACTATCATTATATTCTTCACTGCCATGTACTCACAGTTTTCAAAAAGCCAGTTTCACCTTAAGAATAATCTTGAGCCCTAGCCTGTTTGCTCAGTGGTTAAAGGGTCATGGGTTCATTTCCAGTCAAGGGTACATACCTTGGTTGCTGGCTGGATCCCAGGCTCCAGGTCAGTGCGTGTGGAGGTGGCAGCCATTCGATGTGTCTCTCTCACATATGTTTCTTTCTCTCCCCCTCCCATTCTCTCTAAAAACCAATGGGGAAAAAAAATCCTCAGGTGAGGATTAACAACAACAACAAAATCTTGAAGCAATAGATATTTATTTTATGAAATCTCCACTTTTGAATACATCCTTTTAATATTGTGTGTGACAAAATGGGAAATACACATAAAGCACTTGTGTGTATTTTAGGTGTCAGGTAATGACACCTTTTAGCTCCTTTTTTTTCATGAAATGCCATTTTTGCTAGAAAAATATAACTGACAGACACATTACACTGATCAAATTGGGATATTTGGCAAAAGTTCTTGGAAATAATAGGAGTGAGCCTGTTACTTTAAGAAAAATGATTGGTGGTTATTTTTTGTCAATGATAAAAGTAAGTTTTCAAGTACAAATTAGAATTTTGGAAATTTATTTGCCTGGGCTTAAAAGCTTTCCAGAAGTTAAAAACTTTTCTGATGAAATCAGTGGTGATGTTAATGAATGTGGGTTGTTTTTTTTTAATATTGTAGTTTAATTTTTAATATGGTAAATGTTAATAAATTTAACCTTTATATGAAGTAGTACTTTATATGTGTAGTACTTTATATGTGTAGTAAAGGAGTCCTGATGGCAAAAAGTCTAAGAACAGCTGATACAGATCCTCTGCCTAAGTCAAAGGTTTCACAGTGTAACCTTATAACCTCCTCCTACCCGACCCTCATCCCACCAAATTAAAATAGAAAAGAATACTACGATTTCTGCAAAAAAAAAAAAAAAAAAAAAAAAAAAAAAAATTAGATTGCATGGTAATAATATATTTTAAAATTATTTTACCAATGTAATTTTCTCCTTTAGTTATACAGTGGGCTTATATAACCCCATTGAATTTACTTAGGATTGCATTGAATTTATTATTGTTGATAGTTACATTAAAATATTTTTTTCTCTTCTCTTCCTTTTTCTTCTGTTTATTTCTCTTCTCAATTTCCTCTTCTCCTTTCATTCCTTCCTTCCTTTCTGTTTGTATTTGTTTTCTAGGTGGAGTCTTTCATTTTGGATCAGGATGACTTGGAAAATCCAATGCTGGAAACAGCTTCCAAATTGCTCTTGTCAGGTACTGCTGATGGTGCAGACCTCAGGACAGTAGATCCAGAAACACAAGCTAGACTGGAAGCTTTACTAGAAGCTGCAGGTAAGTCCGCAAAGTCCACATATGTAATAAGTCTACCTAATTAAAGTTACGATAAATCTAAAAAATTTCTGTCATTATCAATGTATGACCTTGGATATTTAGTATAAAACTGCTCATAAAGGTTAATATATTATTTTTTAGAGAATTACATGGAACATTTCATTAAAGAATATTTTTTACCAGAGTAAAATATAAGGTTGTTGTCAACCTTTTTATAAAGAGGGACTTCTTATACAGTCGATTTTCATTAGTCCTAAATTCCATATTTGTGAATTTGCCTACTTGATAAAATGTATTTGTACCCCGAAATTAGTACTCACAGCACTTTCTCAGTCTTTCATAGAAATGCACAGAATGGTGAAAAATTTGAGTCGTCCTACACACATGTTCCCCGCTGAGGTGGAATAAGGTGATGTTCTGCCTTCTTGTTTCAGCTTTCATACTGTAAACAAGTGTCCTTTTCACAATCTACTTAGTGCCACGTTTTTCAGATTTGTGTACCTTTTGTTGGTAATTTCACTGTTTAAAATGGCCCCAAAGTATAATGCTGAAATGCTGCCTAGTGTTTCTAAATGTGAGCAGGCTGTGATGTGCCTTAGGAAAAATACATGTTAGATAAGCTTCTTTCATGCATGAGTTATATTACTATTAGTCATGAGTTTAATGTTAATGAATCAACTATATATTAAATAAGGTTGTCTTTAAACAAAAACACACATAAAACAAACATATATTGTCTAGTTATTGCAAATGTTGTGATCAGAGGCTTGAAGGAACCTAGTCCCATTTTCCTGCAGAAGCAGTAGTTCAGTATTCATGAATTCAGGGTTCCCAGGAACTCTACAGAACATAAATACCATGAATAACGAGAATCGACTGTATATAATTCCCCCCACTTTTTTGTCAGAGACTGTCTCTTAAAACCCTGTAAAGTGAATTATTATTTTTGTAAAGTGGGTCATCATTATATTATTCCTATAGGAGATTACATGACATAATAAAAGATTAAGCTATATA